AACGGCCGTAGCTACTTCCTTAAGACTTGGAATAATCTCGAGAAAGACTCTTGTTCTCTTATCCTTTAATAATGGGGTTTGTGTTTAGATTAGTGAAGGGCTCTAATGGAAGGTAAACACGAAGGCACTGATCATAAACGCTCACTTCCTTCTCGGCTATGAGCGAAATTGCTCCTACTCCGTGCCAATAAATTTTTCGACCAACTGATGATAGCGTACTTGGCGGTAGCGAAGTTCACAAACAAATATAAATAAACAATGTTTACATGTTACGGACATTCCACAGGCTCCACGGTCCAAAAAACTGGTGCCCGAGATACTTCACTTTTGATAGAAAACCCGAAAATTTTGGCATAGCAGAAATACCAAAGCGTTGTTTCACGTTCATCACTAAGCAATATTTATTTTAAGGTGCAAAATAGTTAATTCTTCACAAACATGACAAAAACTATTTGAATTATTTATACTCTTACAAGAAATAGTCGATATACGACACGTCACATTATCACAGACTGATTCAATTTAATTTAATCGTTCTGCTATATGTTCTTACGTACCCGCACAATCGCATAACTACGAGTTTCTTAAAAAAAAAAGGTGAGGGTAATACCGGCATACGAGAAAAGAATATTTGTGTAGTGGGATCAACTGCAGATCAATTCAAGGCAGATTCATAAACTACAAATATAGGGGTACTTTTTTGCGATTTAAATCGCATTTACAGATAATAGCATACGCTTCGGTCGTGAAACGTAAAAATATCGTTTAAATATGCTACGATATAAAAAAAACTTTCGAGGGTTTTTTTTTTTAGAAACGAAATAATTAAAATTGTTCAAACTAACGAACAATGTAGTATTCAGATTTCGTAAATGATGTAGCGGCGTGTGGTGGTTACTAATAAAACATCATAATAAATTTATGAGTTTACGTGCGGTAAATACAGTACATGTGATGTTGAATTTGCCATATAAATCATTCTTGTAATGAAGCAAAGAGCTCGAAGTGCATCCTCACGACTGTTATAATTACTTAAAAGGGTTCCCTCATCCTTATTGCAGCGTCTTAACTAGACCGTGACCCAGTTCGTCTCAGCACGACAATTCGATGCGGAAAGGCATCTCGGTTCATTCCGTTTGGCTATTCAGTTCGAAAAATTGGTGCCCGAAGACATGCGACGTTCGACTGCGACACGCATAATTTTGGTGGAGTTTTCCCAGCGTGCAACGAACTCGGGTGGATGTCCCACTGTCCAAAAAACTGGTGCCCGAAGACACATGCGGGACGGGCGAAGTGACTTCATTACACACCGGTCATTGTCAACAGGATGTGGTAAAATTTCATAGACAGTAAATTGTCCGTCTCATTCGAAATCAAGATTATCGACAAATCTCATTCCGCGGTTGCTCTTCCTAATCACCGAATAGAAAAAAACGGAATTTACTTACCGCAAGTTTGTTTATTCAATTTATGCCCGGTATTATGAATATAATGACAATAATTATCCGCGAGACGATGTTCCTCCATTAGACAATTTAATGGTTGCGTGTCTACGCCATTATCGAAAGTGAAACATCATTTCAGTTCCCGCAAATTCCTCCAGTCGATTAAGTGATTTGTACCGAGTGCTCTAATTATTCGCTCGTCGATATTATGTACCGAGGAGGAATGAAAAAGTCATCGCTGGCTCCGTGGAAGAATGTTATTGCGCATAAACACGAAGCAATTTACTTATTATAAGAACCCTCGAAAACTGATTACAATTTATCAAATATATAACGAGATCGTTTTTGCCGCAGCGCCAACAAAAGATTCAAACTAGCGGCGAAAGTCACGTTTCGGGAAAAAACAGAGGCGGCTCGTGACCCGCTGTGTTAGGACGGTATCGCCCCAGTAGCCGATGTAGATCTCTGCCGTACGTTATTCTACAGGTGCGGCAAATACAGTACAGTTTTCTAAAAGCGGTCGTCAATCCTGGTCCGCAGCCAAGTGTACGGAAATCCCAACGACTGACAAATATTTCGGGTTAAATGCATTTTGTCGAACATCGCCGCCCCTGCCCGTGATAACTACGAGAATTAAAGCGGGCCAATCATTTTTGTTTGAAATATGGTCCAAGCGTGCCATGGCCGTCGCAAAGATTTGTCTTTTAGATAAATTTATAGCCGTTAACTCCCCTTAAATATATCTCGAGTTTTCCCTCATTTGGTCTAAACGGAAATTTCGTTATAATAAAGAACCTACTTTACATGCTCGTTTCAAAGGTCTGTTGCGTTTCAAAGGCATTTTCCCTTCCAATATATCACCTACTCACTCCGTTGAGTGGAAAGTAACTCGACAATGCCACTCACATTTTCAAGTCGACTTCGAAATATCGCACAACTTAGGAGTTGTTTGTCATCCAGACGCGTTTTTGAATTTTCGTTGTTAAAGAAAAAATGGTGAGTGCAACTCGGGTGCAGAAGTGACCTGTCTGTCACAACTCCAATTCTACAACTGTAACTGTTGTTACTTTTTCGAGCAGTTTTTTCCATTTTGGCACAAACAGCCTATTGTTATCTATATAAATTGTCCATTTTTTCCAACATAATGTAACAATCGAGCGGATCGAATGGATTCCACTTTACAATAATGGAAGATAGAATTAATCAATCGGAGCGGAGTTAATCCTCATAGTCTGGTTTGTTTAACTGAAGATATGCGACTTTTCCGAACTGATCGACTTGAAAATGCCAAATCGTCTTGTAATCGACTAATTTAGTTTTTGTTTAAGACGAGCAAGCGCCAATTTGTTTCCACTGGTCTAACTTAAAAAAATGCAAGTCATGTCGGAATTTGCTTTTAAATGTTATTTTAGTGACATTCAATCGGTTACGAAACATTCATGGATGACTTAGCGAAGGAATTTTCGACATGAAAAACAAGAGCATAACTGAAAGCGACGCTCGCACAGATGGTGAATATTCATCGTAAAATCGCGATCTTATTCTGGTAACTCGAACATTTCAAACACAATTGGTCATGCTTTAAAAACTGATCACAATAAATTTATAGTTTACAATGTAACACTATCGAAACAAAGAATCTGAAGTAATTGAAACAAATGCGATTGATCACGTAAAACTCGCATGAACAGCCTGCGCTAAAGCGTTGTGAGTCGATGTTTAATTTACGCTACTAAAATCAAGGTGATTTGAACTGGAGTGAGCACATGCATAACTTACTATATAGGAGTCAATAGGAACGGTAAGTTCGTGGATCAAGCGCTTGTTCAGTGATTCTAGTGTAATTTCAGTTTCGGGTGTGTATCGGCCCCGCTGTGCATAAAAATTAGTCACGTGACCCGGTCGGTGTACGTTTTTACGATAGCATATCCTGTGAATCCCCGCTGCGTTGTCAAGCGCGGCGATAATGCGACGTTAAGCGACGAAAGTCCGCGTTTGTTTTATGTATAATAAGGTTGTTAAAACTTGGTTGCAGGAAAGTAATAAGCGCTCCGGTTTTATGTTTCACATCGCGATATTAGGTGTTGTAGACGGTACAAATAACAGCTGTCTGCGATTGGCGCAGTTTCATTTGAAAATTTGGCGTGGGGCATTTTTGCAGGGGTGTAAAGCGATGCCAGGCGTAATAAAACATGTTATTCAAAAAGACAGGCTCGCTTTACGAGCAAATCTACAAGACACAATATAGGTGGCGAACGGCGGGTGAGTATTTACAGCGATGGCACGTTTAGCGATAGTATGCAAAGAGTGTGGGGTATGTCATGTAGCGCGAATAAAGCAGCAACCCAAAGTGTAACATGTGGTTTGAAGTGGTGCTCCTCGTAAAGTTGTCAGTGGGCATGTGGTGGTAACGGTCCCTACTCGTACCGCATTTCAAATGAGCGACCTCTCGAACACGTAATGACAATGTGATGAGCCCGACGTCGTCACTCACGACTTTCCACAACCGCCGACGAAATTTTGCTCCGAAACACCGAGCCGGCGCTCATTAGTCGACGAACGCGCTCAAATTCAGAAAAATCGCGATTATGGAATTAGCCGAACAACGGCTCAGAATATACAGTCCACCGACGCAGCATTCGAAAGTCGCCCTAAACATTTTTAATAAATTTTAGCGACACAGGAACACATTTGTAATTTTTAATTTTCGCGTCGTTACCACCGCGCCTTTTCTTGCCCGGGAATACTTTTCGGAACGCTGGCTATCGGTCGGTCTGTCGGAAGGTCGGTGCAATCCATCGATGAGCGAGTTATCCCTCTAACTTGGAGAAACTACTTTTTACCAGTCCAAAGACCAACTAAAACGAACGTGCAGCTGCATTGAGGAAAAAGTTAGTTTGAGCCGCCGACAATCGGGGGTAAGTTCATAGAGAGGGGCATTATAACCAGACATGTCCATGTTAGGATCAAGGTGACTATGCCTGGTAGCTTTAGCTCACTGCCATTGCCACTGTCGGTTGACTTTGCTGATGGACGACATTTACAATCCTCAACGTCCTTTTTGTATGGTCTTTACTCTCCGTACCGTAGACTAGGCCTCTAAACGAATTTATTATGAAAACGTACGTACATTAAATCCATGAGTCACGTCAATTAAGGAATCATTTCAGAAGCGTGGGTCAGGTCATCCCGTAATTTTTTTATTATGATGGAGCGCTACATGAACTTGTTGCACTAAGGATTCTCCGAATAACACACCTGTGCGAGAGGCTAAAATTCATAAATCATAACGCACCAACTACCTCAATTTTGATATTTAAATTTTGATAGTACCACCTTCTGTCCACAAAGGGTGGTACTGTTTGCATATTTAACTACCGTTTAACCAAGTGGGTGCCGAACTATTTCCACTTTTGTTATTTTAATATACTGATTTTCGTAGTAGTACCATTTGACTAAAAAGGGTGGTACCGTTTGCCTAAATGATTAATAAATATATATATGTGGTGACAAACCGCAACGTAGTCAATGCTATTAAAGACATTTCTGTTGCAGGTACAGGGAAGAAGCGCTGTGCTGGACAGAGCGGTAAGTAATCTAATTTGCCCCGTAAGTGGGAGTCGGACATGGTAGGCGCTTGATAAGTCAGAATAATGTGTAGGTGTAAAGCACCGCCGAGTTCTTGTAAAGTTCGCCGTCTTCACGGAGTCTGAAGCGATGGATGGTGGCCGAATTTCGGATCAATTTAGTTCGAAACGAGTCGTCAGTCAAGTTTTTGTTTTGTCACAGCCATTATATAGACAGGCATCGATACTGGTCGAAGGTTTTTCTGTAGGATCGTGGTCTCGCGGTACGTCGGTTAATGAGGGTGGCAAATAAAACAAGAAGGTTATAAATTATCTTCCAGTCGATTAGTCCGAGTCTATCAACCTTAAATCGAAACCTGTTATGAAATTACTGGACATGATTACTCCTCCGATGCTGGCGGATAATTTGCTTGAATAAGTGAAGGTCTTGTTGGTGTCAGAAGTTCGACCGCCGACCGAGCACATCCCAACTTCACCAAATTACACTGCGGTCGGGTCCTATCAATATCTACAAAATAAAATTCCCGAGTGGACAAATTATTATTGCCCGGAACACGTACAATATTTTTGCTATGTCGTCCAATTCACTGATTACGATACGTCTTGAATTATAAAGTCATGCATTGAACTCACTGTTGTCGAAATTAGAGCATTTACGATATTCGCAGAAATTAATGACACCGCGGACCCGTAATGTTTGATAATGAACACTTTCGTTCGACGAGATGTCGCACACAGACAGACAGACGACAGACAGACGGAACGCGGACCTGGTTTTTCATACGCTAGGGGTCATGAAACGTCGAGAAAACATGAAAGTAGCGATTCGTTAGATGGACCCTATTACAGTACTTCCGTAGCGTCATTAGCAGCCATCTTGTATAATAGTGTATAAACTTAGGACTCTTTATGAAAAAAATGGACCTTGACATGCACGGGGCAAGCAATTTTTTGGAACTTCAACTCAAACACGTGGTTTTAGTTGTTATGGCTAGATTTTGGTGTGATATTAAAAATGATAATTTTGTGTAGGGAATGGAGGGAATATGAATTATGAAGGTGACCGTACGTGAAGGTACTATCTGTTGCGTTTGTGTTCGTGTTTTCGTGGGTACGTCGGGGTAGACAAAAACGGCCCCATTGTTCGGGAGTCATGCTCCCTTATTAGGAGATTGCATAAATTAACGGTGAGGGAAAGGTCCGGCCGGACTGGCCCGGCACTCGTCACAATAGCGGCGCGTAGTAACGAACCGATGTACCTTTAGATATCTGGTCGAATAAATCTCCCGAGTCCAAATCAAAGATGATTTTTTGTGCGAAAATATACAGTGCAGTTGTATTGTTGACCAGATAGATGCAATATTTATTGTGTCCAGCAGGCCAGCAGAATGCGACGGCAGTCAGTCGAGTTGCATTTCCACATTCTCAACATACATGGGTTTTAATGAGCAAATCCTACTAGTTCTGCCGTGCGCTCGCCCGCAGCACCAAACGCACTCCCTGCTTTTTATATCAATGAAGAGAGACCAAAAGGCCGCCAGAGCCACAGCGGCCTTCTTTGGGCATTCTGTCATTCTGCGGCCGACGCAAAACCTCTGTCTCCGGTTCGCTTCTTGTTGCCCGATGACGTTTTGGCTTCCAAGTCCGGATTCCCTTACGGTTCGAATTATTAAGCAGGGAGATAAATCGCGACGGTCGCTCTTAACGCGGTTTTGATGGCCGCGTCCCCCGTTTTTTCGCACGAGCACGCGCCTGAGGATAGATCCACAGATCTAGAAGGGCCGCCTTCCTAATTAAAACCGCATTTATTAAACGCTATAAATAAGAGTTCAGAAATCAATGTTCTTTCTGAAAACCAATTAGACCATAATTGGTAGTTGCAGATTGCTGAAGGCTAGTGACATATATGGAGTTGTATTTGTTTCGAGAAACGATTGAACGGTGGCCGATATGATATTATCGGTAGAGGCGGCCGAAGACCGGCTATCGGAGACGAGAGCGGCTCGCCGCGCTCAAGATCGACGCAACTTAGGTAGTAAGGAAGGCACGCGAGCAGAACGCGCCCTAAATGCTCGGATGCTGATCACGAGGAGTCTGCGACCGGCTAGTGTTGTACACAATGCAATACAACTCGATAGTGACCATTAATCTCCCATCTGAATAATGCATGTCGTCATGCCGTTACCGTATGGCGATTGAACCAAACTAACTTATATCACAAGATAACCATGCTGCAGCGCGTGCTGTATAAACACCATTAACCCTTAACTGGACGAGCGTTAAAATACCTTACATCTACCTCGATCAACTAAATTATCTCATCTTATACATTTTAACATATCATATGACAACACCATTAACCTCACTTTTCGCACTACGAAAAGAATAAGTTTCAGACAGACGGACATACGGAAAAACGCATTACAATACTGCATCTTCTATCCTATCTTAAACAGCCATCAGCTCAACTTCTGGCAAGTATGCAAACTCGGCGTCGATTTGCGGTAATTGGAGAAACATGGCCAAAATTTACCGGTTGATTAGCACGACACCACGACGTGGGTTCCTCGCCTTTAACGGATTGACTGCGCCCCTTAATTACACGCGTTTTCGGTAGGGTGTTGATTTATGGGGTAGTTACAGATCTCATAAACAGCACATGGGCTAGCTGGAATGCTCGCTGTCATATTTGATGGGACCATCGCGCATTCTTTCTCGTCATTCATCTTTTGCTTCTCTCTAAACCACTGGCTCGTTTCGCACTTTTTTAATCGTTTAGGCACGCATAAGTAATGAACCTATTATATTTTTATGCGGTTCTTGACCCAGATTTTTCTTCGTGCGTAACATACGATGTGGCAAAATTTATACCAGCACCAGAGAAAAGAATGCAAGCGTCCGTCATTGGGTCGCTTTTGGCGATGAAGCAACAATCGGGGTTGTATTATTCGCAAATATGTTATGCATGAGACATACTATTGTGTAACTGTGACCACAACATATCAAGGTGCTGCATTAAATTAATATTGCAGTAGCACGTACGGGCGTGCATTTCCAAATAAAAATTAGATAATTAGAATGCAGTGCGTTTAGATTGGTTTGTTATTAAGGTAGGTCGTATCAGGGTGATTTGTAAACAAAAATGGTCTATTGTTGCTTGGACTGACACTGGGTTTATAAAGCCATACAGTCCACCTTAATGCCTTAACTAATTTTACGACTTAATGGCAGTATTAAACACGTCGTTAATAGATTATTCAGTATTTGCTTATATTGTGCATTGTACTACTTGTAAACGAGTGATTTATGTTGTTGCCATATATATTATGATGTTATCACGTCCAACTGCAAACAACGTCCATAAAGTTACCTTTGAATCATGCTTAAAACTGTCTTAAATATACTCATTATTACTATTATTGTTTTTAAAATTTTTATTAAAAGCGTAGAATCGGCACAGCTTATGACTTTACAGTCCTGTTCCAGATTTGACCTCCTTGAAAAAAAGATTTTAGATTTAACCCTTGACGACTTCTTTCACTATTCATCACGATAGATATTATTGGTCTCTGTTGTTTCTCATGCTTGAACGTTCTGCAACTCTGACAACGTCAACTAAGTTATCAGAGAAGTTTTTACCGAACAGAATGTTCCAGAAACTTCCCCGTTTCTCTCTGTTACCAGTTCCAGAGGACCATCTTAAATTCCGAATTTCAAGAACATTTCCTTATGTCAACCCTTTTTTGACAGTCCACCTGTTTTGGAATACCCCCTTATTCACCAGGGTAACATTCTTCTCCAGTACAATTTTCTAAAACCCTTCCGAATTTCGTCTTTCTCTTCTAAGTTTTTTTGCTTTTCTAGAATGATTTGGAAACGTCTTTCTTTCGCTTTTAATTAGTGTCAACTTTTTGTATCTACTTGTTCCCACTTAAAATGCCTTTAAAAGTTACCAAAGTAGTGTTCTAGCACGATTGAAAGTTCTAGAAACTCCTCAATTCCTTATCAATTAACTTCCCTTTCATATCAGTTCTAGAGACTCATCTTAAATTCCGAATTTCATGAACATTACTCTGTCAATCTTTTTTTGATAGTCCACCCTGATTCACCAGGAAATTCGTCAAAACGAAATTCGTCTTCCTCTTCTAACTCTTCGTTTTCGAATAGGATTTTCTAGAATTCTTTTAAGCCATCAGTTATTTAATTTTAATTATATGTCAAACTTTCTGCGTCTTCTTATTCCTACTTAGAATGCTTTTAGAATTTGAATTCCCTCTTACCATATTTGTTTTCCAAGTAGAATATTTCTAAAAGTTACCAAAGTAGTGTTCTTACGAAATAGAATGTTCTAGAACCTTCTCTATTCTTTGTCAACTATTTTCTCTTTCTATATCGATTCAAGAGAACATCTTAAAGTCCGAAATTCATGAACATTTCCCTGTGTCAACCTTTTTTTGAGACTCCACCTGTTCTACACTACCTTGATTCACCAGAGTAACATTCTTCTGCAGTGTAATATTCTAGAACCATTACGAAGTTTTTCATCTTTCTTTTCTAACTCTTTTCGCTTTCGAATAGAATTTCTCTAGAATTCTCTTGAAACGGCAATCTTTCGACTTTAATTAGGTTTCAAACTTTCTGTATCTTCCTATTCCCACTTACAATGCTTTTAAAATCCAAACTGAATTATCAACTTACCGCATTTATTTTGCAAGGGCAATAGTTCTAAAATTTATCAAAATGTTGTTCTAGCTACTTTTTCTAATCCTAGAACCTCTTCGATTCTTTGTCAACTAACTTCTCTTTCTTATTAGTTCTAGAAAATCACCTTAAATTTCGAATTTCATGAACATTTCCCAATGTCCACCTTTTTTTTGATAGTCCACAAGTTTCATTTCACCAAGGTAATATTCTTCTCCAACATTCTACACCCATCACGAATTTCGTGTTCCTCTTCTAACTCTTTTCGCTTTCGAACAGGGTTTTTAGAATTCTTTTGAAACGTCATTCTTTCGACTTTAATTAAGTGTCGAACTTTCTGCATCTTCCTGTTCCGACTTAGAATGCTTTTAGAATCCAAATTGAAGTGCCTCTTACCATATTTGTTTTGCAAGTAGAATAGTTCTAAAATTTATCAAAATAGTGTTCTTGCAAAGTAGAATGTTCTAGAAACTCATCGATTCTTTGTCAACTAACTTCTATTTTTATTAGTTCTAGAGAATCATCTTAAATTCCAAATTTCATGAACTTTTCTCTATATCCACCCTTTTTTTGACAGTCCACCTGTTTCGCACTACCCCTGATTCACCAGAGTAACATTCTAGAACCATTACGAATTTCGTCTTGCTCTTCTAACTCTTTTCGCTTTCGGCTAGGATTTTTCTAGAATTCTTTTGAAACGTCCATCTTTCGACTTAAATTAGGTTTCAAACTTTCTGTATTTTCCTACTTCCACTTGCAATGCTTTTAAAGTCTAAACTAAATTATCAACTTACCGCATTTATTTTGCAAGGACAATAGTTCTAAAATTTATCAAAATGTTGTTCTAGCTACTTTTTCTATATCACTGCTACAGAATCACCTTAAACTCCGAATTTCATGAACATTTCGCCCTATCAACCCTTTTTTGACAGTCCCACTTAGAATGTTTTTAGAATTTAAATGAATTCTATCTTGCCACAAAAATAATAGAATGTTTTAGAACCTCTTCGATTCTTTGTCAACTAACTTCTGTTTCTTATTAGTTCTAGAAAATCATCTTAAATTTCGAATTTCATGAACATTTCCCTATGTCCACCTTTTTTTTGATAGTCCACAAGTTTCATTTCACCAGGATAACATTCTTCTCCAACATTCTACACCCATTACGAATTTCGTGTTCCTCTTCTAACTCTTTTCGCTTTCGACTTTAATTAAGTGTCGAACTTTCTGCATCTTCCTGTTCCGACTTAGAATGCTTTTAGAATCCAAATTGAACTGCCTCTTACCACATTTGTTTTGCAAGTAGAATAGTTCTAAAATTTATCAAAATAGTGTTCTTGCAAAGTAGAATGTTCTAGAAACTCATCGATTCTTTGTCAACTAACTTCTTTTTTTATTAATTCTAGAGAATCATCTTAAATTCCAAATTTCATGAACTTTTCTCTATATCCACCCTTTTTTTGACAGTGCACCTGTTTCGCACTACCCTGATTCACCAGACTAACATTCTAAAACCGTTACGAATTTCGTCTTGCTCTTCTCTTTTCGCTTTCTAATAGGATTTTTCTAGAATTCTTCTAAAACGTCAATCATTCAACTTCAATTAGGTGTCGAACTTTCTGTATCTTCTTGTTCCCACTTGGAATGCTTTTAGAATCTATACTAAATTTTCTCTTACTACATTTGTTTCCTAAGTAGAATAATTTTAGAAGTTACCAAAGCAGTATTCTTGCAAAATAAAATGTTCTAGAACCTCCTTCTCAAATCTCAAATCTTCAGATTTGAGTTTTATCCTATCTAATACTCTAGAATGTTTACGGGGGGTTCTTTTGATACATCGTTGATAGTTCGATTTTAATCCACCGTTCTCTTTTTTACAATGATTTTACAGAATTTTATCAATTTTTTCCTTCCCAATACACCGAAAGATGCAATAAAAACTTAAATTTAGTCATTACTATTGTGGCGGCACAATAATAGCTAGGTAAACGAAGTAAAGATAAGCCGCTCTGTAGCCTAGTGGTCAAGGCACCCGCCGGGCAAGTGGGAGATGTGTGGTTCGATTCCCAAACATTTTTCTTCGCTTACCGACACTATCAAAATTATATTGTTAAAAATTTTGTCTTATGTATTGTCAATTTCAAAATTGATCTGTATAAAATAGGAAAACGATGAAAGATATTCGTAAGACCAGATTCAAAGACCAGAATCAAAGAGAATTAGAAACAGTTTGGAAATGTATACAACTAAAATTCCATACAGTTAAGTGAAACAAAGCGAACTGAGACATAAGAAACTAGACCAAACGGAGAATACTTTCGCAAATTTTGAGGATTTGTTTTCAGTCAAGGTTTCCACACTTCGATCTTGTCAAGTGTTGACACCTGCATTCAAGATACGGCATCTGTTATTTACGACTGTGAGTTTTGCGGAATGGTATATCTGTTGTAGGTTTTACGATACCCTAAGTTTACACGTTACGTTCTTAGAGAATTTGCGAAACTATACTCGGAAAGAAATAACAAGAATAGGAAATGAGGTCAGGTCAGATAGCGGCAGACAATCTAATGGGTAAGTCTCATCAATATTTAATTAGGTATGTTTGTATTTTGGTTAGTTTTAGAAATGTATTCCCGACGTTCTGGATAAATCGTCGAAAGAGTGTACTACTCGAAATATAAAAATTTGATGCTGCTATTAGGGTGGCTACAGGAAGCGGCATTCTAGCAACGTAAAAACAATAAAGAATCCGGGTATCCTTACATGACATGCACTATGGAAAATTAGACAGACGTGTCCCCACATGGCGTAAATAATACAACGATAATGCCACTAGGATATGCGCTTCACGATCGCTGAAACTAAGGGAATATAATCCCGCTTCGGTCACATTTACTAACACAATTATAATCTTCCTCGGCGATTTTTTCCTGGACGAGAAATTGGATTGCATCGGCGAAGCTTTTACGCTAGCAGTTATCCGATGAAGCCTCTAATTGCCAACCCAATAAAAAATACCTATTGGAATGTTAATGTCAATTGTGGTTAATTAGTATTAATTAACCGTGTGATTTTGCTTTCCGACGTGCCTGAAAGAATTCTTTCTGCATCTACACCTAATAATAAAACAAGTTCCGAAGTGAACCTTATCTAATCTGGAATTACCACGGTTATTTTCATTAAAACCCTGTATACCGTCGGAGCTACGAATCCTTTTGGCCATTGTACTTGAGAAGTCATTCCAACGTCGCTCTTTTATCTTCCATCTACATTACTTTATGTGATTTGCTATTAATTGGCATGCGGTTAAAGACCAGCCTTATTTGTGACAACACAATGAAATAAACAATTTTATTCCGCATCTAAAATCGCTGCTATAAATTCAATTACTATTTGAAGATGCCACGTAACGATTGCGTTCGCTTCTGAACTAATTTAACTCACTAATTCGAATAACAAGTTCTGTCAAAGTCGATTTTTTATGGAAAAAAGTCAAAATAAACACTCGCTAACGTAATCGACTCCCCTGTAATTATAGTGATTGAAGCGAAAGCAATTTCCTCGAGTGTATGAACTGCTACAAAGTGAACACTTTTGAAGGGTTACTTTTTTCACGATCGGAATTGTAGAATCTCTCAACCGTCGTCTTATGCATACTACTACATCTCTAACAATCGTAAATTGCCGCACGTCTGAACCATAATCGCTGGCGCTCACTAACACTTCCATTAGCTATTAATTGCTATTAAATTAATCATACCTTATGCTAGGATAATAAGTTGGATCTTTAATACTGCCAACAATCTGTATTTAATCAGCAACACAAACATCCGCTCGGAACAAACCATGCACGGAATAAATTATCAAACCAATCACGACCAAATTTACATGTGATTAAATACAAGCGAGCATCTAATAATTACGTGGTTTAGATAACTCGTTAGCAACTCGCCCAATTCTGATCAAAATTTCATTTCTCTAACGCAGATGTGATGACTTCTCAATCCCCAAGCGCAAGTGGAGGCGTTTTGACAAACGTCAAATTTCATATTTTTCGTTTCCGTCTGTCTGTCGTCAGTCTGTCGGTCATATCATTAATTGATGAGATACCCATTTTACCTAACCAAAATTTCTTAGTGTTCGTGAAAATTAAATTCAATATTGTTTCTGTCTGGAATTATCCATGCAGGATAATGATGTCAAAAATAGCTTCTCCGATAATTACATATCAAAATTTAGGTATTAATTGTTGCAACAGGTGCTCAAAGGACTCGCTATATACTTAGCAACAATAATAAAGGCGTTTTCTGAGAATTGGATGGGGAAATACTGACTGAAATCTTTAGACCCACTATCAAATTACAATGTCGCCACTTTGTTCTCATCACCAGTTCTTATTTATTACGTAACTATTAGTTGGACTATTTCTGGTAGAGAAGGATATCAGCAGGAAATAGTTCTAGTTATTATTGTGTTCCTCCAGGTGAACATAACAGGCCTCTGCTCTACTCATTTACATTAGTAATAATAATAATAATAAAAATTGTGCGGTTGTTTTCAGTAATGAAAGGACGAGCTTTAGAATGTTTACGTTATCAGGAATTGCATCCTGCATTTCTTATTAGAAGAGTAAATTTTATAAAAGGCAGCGCGCGTTCGTTGAAATTTATCGTGCGCGTTTGAAAATGCGGTAAGGGCTGCTCATTTTATTAGTTTTCCTTGAAAAGCAATCCGTTATCAGTATTTGGTAAATGAAGTAGGGGTGGGAGTATTCTCCCATATTAAGACTTATTTAGGGTAGCATGTAGAAGGGGATCCGAACGACAAGGGCAGTGTCAGATTATAGCACCGGCAGTTGCATTTTCAACGTTCCGCGTTTCACGTCAACCGAAGGCGACTTCAGATCCGACTCCTACACGTGGTTAATTTAAACTGTTGATATGTTGTACGGACTTGCTTATCCAGAAGTTTGTTTCTATTCTAGGAAACCGACAGTCGACGATGTTGGAAATCCGTCATCGGTCAACGCGCGGTAAGTGCAGATAGTATAGTTTTCCAAAAATAAAAAAATTCGAACCTTGTACCTACAAGTTTATGTATAACAACGCCATTTGCACATAAACAAGAGCATGCTAAGTCCTTGCTTCCGATTAGCTTATAACATCGCCGATAATTCCGTAACCTGAAACGCAGGTGCGTGCTAAAGATCGAAGCATATGATTATACCTATATATGATTCTTACATAGTTTGTGCTTGCACATAGATTATCAATCAACAGCCTGCGGTACGTGTCAGTTATCAAAACCCTGCCATCTATAGCAACCTACCTGTCGTCATAAAATTAACTCAACTACCTTAACCTGCCCGAAATTTGAAAGTCAAACTTTTTAATTGGTGGCAATTTTCCGCAAATTTCTCACAATTTGCGCTCCGCGAAAGATCAAAATTTTCTCTCTTAAATGCATATAAGAATTTTTTTACGTGCAATTTGAGATAATGCCGATCGAAGATGTCCTCGACTTAGCTCATTTCTTTTTACTATTAACTTTTCGGTAACCATGGGTCATCATGTTGGGTAATCACCGTCGGTTAATGCAATTTTAGGAGATTGCGCCGTAAATCTTGGACCATGGTCCTCTGATCGCTACCTACACCTATAATTTAATGGCTCCGATCACTCCCCTAGGGAAATAAGATTTTATACCGGTGGAAGCGCTGCCGAAAAAACAGGTGCATTCAGCCTCCAGACCATCACAAGCTTCAATAGCTGTACCATTGTTTCCATAATTTATAAATTATGGTTATGGCGTGAGAAGTCCAATTCACGTACTTACCACGTTGTAAAGACATTGTAGCGTTATATGCACTCCAAATTCGTTTTCGTATTGTATACGACATAAAGTAAATATTATGGGCTATAACCGGCCGCCGCCAATCGCACACGATATCAGGGACGGCAAAATTCTCACGCTCGAGATCACTCTTTACTCGTACTTTTGCAATGCTTTATTGTATTGTATTACACCCGATACGATTAATTAAAATAATAACACACTGACACAAAATGTGAGGTTATGTTAGAGATTTTGTCTGTTTACACTTGTTTGTATATTCACGGAACGAACACTTTGATTGTTAACACGACTATGCAACGTCTCTGAAATGATTCTGCATCAAGAGTGCTCTGGAACTTTTTTTGTTAATTAATTTACCGCCTTGTTACCACAGCGAGCCACATTTATGGACACGTATATTAATACGCGTAACGACTATAATTAGCTGTTACGTGCTAATGGCTGTCTTGATTTTTGAATTTTAACTATAAATGGGGTGCTGGTTTGAACTGCCCAGTGGTACTATCGTAAGTCAAGTACGGAAATGTTATCGCAAAGAACGTATGCGTCGTGATACATTGTTCTAATAGTAGGAATAATAGTAATAGTACATTACTGTAACTGGTTGTGGGAAGGCATGGCCAATGACATGGAGATGTAATCTCCATCTTTATATTTCCGTATTGTTTTGGTGACGTGAAGGATTTTTGTCGTCATTATGGTACTTTTCAGTTTTATTTATTTCGCACTAAAAAAACACAAAATGGCTGCTCAGTGACAATCTGTATGTACCCCACATTACAAAAATAAATAATATTAATAACAATGTACATTTTGTCAAAAAGGTGGAAAACGTATCAACAATTAGAAATTTTGAAGTATTGTAATGTGTTACAAATACGTTAATTGGTTATGTGTGATTAGGTATCGCCAGGGTGTATATGAGAAATGTCAAAAAAGTAGTGGTTTGTGAGTTCGTTTGCAGTCCGTCGGTATTTTTCTGGTGAAACTGTGGCCGAAATACGGAATACACTTGCACGTACGTGTCGTCTAGAAAGAACGAACAATGACTCGTCCTAATAAGTGTGTTTTGAAAGGATAAGTATTCAATTGCCGATGTCGCGAATCGGGTGCGGTTCTGAGACAGTTCGTGCCGTCTGGTCATGTCCGGAAAATCCGCGTCTGGATGTATCGTTCGTATCCAAAGTTGGTCGGTTCGAGGAAGTTGAAATTGGAGGCCGTGATCTGGAGGTTTGCGATCCGAAAGGCGCTAATATGAGACCAGTAGAACCCCAAACACGTATGCAGACGTGACACAGCTGTACCGCAATATCTGGCTCTGATGACCTATAGACTGACGTCAGACGACGAACCTTCGTGACTAGCGTACCCGGGACGCTCACGTAGGGCATCGTGGCGCGCCGTGCCGGCCGTCGGAGGCGTCGTCTTCTTCATTACTACCACCAGCGCGGTAGAACACTAACCGACCGTACGTTTTGGGTCAAACACGTACTTGATGCCATAGAAAACGTTCCACGAACGGAGATGATCATATCCCACGCGATCGGGACGCCTTTTCGGTGTTGTTCGACCACCATTAAGGTTTTTTGTGTGGAGATTCAAAATCACGGCTGCTTTAGAGAGGTTCGAGACGCGGTTAGGTCAGTAATCTCACGTCAATGAATGATGCATAACCGAAAGTCGGAGCCTACATGAGACAAAGCGGCCGACCACGACAGACAGACAGGGGCCGCCAGCTGGACGCGGACGCCACTACTAGTCCTCCAGCTACCACTGACACTTCTTACTCCACGCCTCGAGTCACCACTTTACTTTACTATCGCGTCGTTAGTTGCTGTCATCAGCGCGAGCGTATTTTCGCATAAGAGACACTAATAATATCGGATTCCTAGTCGTTCCGGCGAACGTGTCAGGTGTACTACTAGTCGTGATTAGGTCGTCGTAACTCTTCATCTTGTGGGACGCTTTAGGTCCGCGCAGCCTCGGGAGGTCGACTGATTTGGGCTTGGTCATGTGCGGTTGTCAATCAGACATAGCCAGACACCCATTATTTCGCATTTTTGCTTAGCAAATTGGTTTTTATGGGTCTGTCCAGTTGCGATAGAATCATCGGAATGTGGTAGTTGTCGAACAATGGGCATTGAATCTCATATTTGTGATACGCTCAAGACCCGGTCCCGGCTATTGGCGATCATGGGACGCGCTTTTCTGATGAAATCGTGTAGAGAAACTGGATTACAAATTCGGATATACATCTAGATGGCATCTGTATTCGTTACACGCGACTCAGTTAGCCGTGGTTAGGTCAGGGATGGGTCCATCGTGCATGCCGAGCAGGCGCGCCCGTAACGGGACCGCAACATAGAAGCTTATATCTTGTTTTGTACGACATGTAGAGCACCCTCACACGGTCGCTTATAGGTGATCCACGTTTTCGCTATTAACCCCCGGCCGATATCAACCGGCGATCGCCCGAATCCCCACGTCCACTCTATCTAGAACTCGGGAAATTCAAACTCACCCTAATTTCGGACAATAACAAGAGTAAGGTGAAAGCTTCAAGGTTCAACCCGACTTAGACGGGATGATGCGTGCGTCGACGAATCTTGTGCCCTTTTGCATGAAAATCGTGCATTAGCGGCCCAAATCCGAGGAGGAGAAGTATCGGTAAGCCGGGTCTGATTGGAAACCGCAGCGGAACATTAAAAAGTAAAGCTCGTACTAAGTCCCGTGACCAATGCGTGGATTAATGCGAAATAATGTGCGTTCCATCTGCGTGTGCCTGGCGTATCGAATTTCCTCGCACCCCGTTGTGAAATCCAGTTTAATTTAAGTGAGATTGTAGGGGTGAATAGAAGTCGCTAGCCAAGGGTCAGTTCTTGTACTTCCACGGATTCCGTTCCCCTTCGACGCGGATTATTATTATTTCAAGTCAATCATAAAATATCACTGCTCTTTCTATCGATGACATTTCCATGAATTCTAAATATACCCTATCACAGTGGACGCTCCGCACACAACTCCTCCGTCCATTTATAAAGATTGATCTCCACCCATGAACATAACCATTTGTCAACTTCTGCAGTCGCAGCGCTAAAATTGCATCATTTATGTTTCAAAGTCGCCCATCGTCTACATTCGGATCAAAATGCACAATCCCGCCTCCATTATTTATCAAACTTCGCGAAATATTCCCGACACGTCAGCGAGCTGCACCGCGCGCTCAAAATTTTCCTTTTTCTTAAATTAACTTTAAACAAATCAGTGATGATAAATCTGGAAGTCTTATATTGAACCTTGCACTATATTGTCGCGTTTGGACAAATGTCCTGTCAAGCTTACACGTTATTGGCGCAGCAATACAAACGACAGGATTCCGGGATTAGGTGTTTGATGAGATGCAGACTTCTCCACCCCCCAGCGGGACTCAGTTTTAATGACTAGCATGTCTTGCGCGCTGCCAATAATTAAGACAAACACTCATGGGATATAACTTTACTTCCTCCCGCCACATCTCGAGCACTTGCAGCACGATTTTTACGGCCGACGCGATCCACGATCTCTTTCGAGGGACGAAGGATTATTAAAGCTCAATCTGAATGAATAAAATTAATATCGCAGAGTGGTGAACTTAACGACTTATCACCGGAGGAAGACGACACTGGATCTACCTTATCCATTTAGCTACCAAGCAAAGTTCAAGGCAGTGGAAAAGTAAATTTACAATCCATTCAAATTAATCAACCGGTTGTAACTAATGTCTTCAATTAAATAAAAATAAATAATTTTTGTCAAAGTTTTTTTTAATCTTAGTTAAGTTACTAAACGAGGTAAAGTATATTGACAATAAAACAACTCGAGAAGCACGCGTTACACTACTATCTAAAAACTCAATTCGTCTTTTTTTTAATTATATACTTCAAAACTTACGGTCTCGGTTGATTTGCGGTATTATATTCTGGGGAATACCTTTTCACTTCCAAACTCTACGTTTTCAACAAAAAAGCATAATGAGATCTATGGAAGAAACTAGTTAAAGATCCCGTGCAAAACCACTGTTTCACACTTGTCGACTATTAGTGCTATCACTTTTACCTACACATCGGGACGTGCCGGGTGTGAGAAGTTGCACGTGAAGTGGCAAGAGCCCGTTGTTTAAACACATTTGTGCTCATG